GTGTGTGGCCCACACTGCTTTCCAGTCCCCATCCCTCCGCCGTGGAACTGGACCCCGTTTCGGCCCCGGCACCTGAGTGAGGGACGGGAGAGGGCCCCTCCACCAAGAGCCTCTGCGCTCAGTTTCTTCCTCATGACGGGTTTTGCAGCCGCTCCAGGCGCAGCACCTTTCTGTTCCCTCTCCCACCCCGGGGTCCTGGGCCGTGGCTAACGGGGCCGCCAGCCAAGACCCTGCTGAGTTGCTTCCCGGAAAAGTTCCCGGCCCTCCCCACACTCCTTACCCCCTCCTCGGCCCTGGGCGCACAGCCTGGCCAGCCTTGAAGGACGGTAAATTGGACAGGGAGTGGGGTGCCTGTGGATCCCCGTCGCGGGGAAACGATGGGGGTGAGGAGTGAGTCCCCACCATGTTGCTCCCAGGAGCTGAAAACGTTTCCAAGTCAAGGAGCATTAACTACTAGCAGCTGAAGCAACACTGTTGGCGCCAGGGGCTTTGGCAGTTGAACGGGGTGGGGCTGGGTTTCGGTGGTACTTGGCACCTCCACTGCCCAACAAGGCTCGCCCCCCATACCTGCTCTGGCCTTGTGGGCAGGGCACACACAGACACCTTACCCAGCTGCCCACCTGCTGCAGAAGGAGAAGCAACTCAAACTTGGGATCACTTGCTCAACCTAAATTGCCAAGGCTGTGAGAGAATGAATGAATGAATGAATGGATGGATGGATGGCTCATGTGAAAGCTCCAGGCCTTTCACTGGCTTCTGCTACCACATCCTGACTGTACCACGTGCATTACTCTGTACTTGTCACAACCCTGCAAGAGAAGAATTTGCTGTTGCCCCCATTCACTGCTAAGGAGACAGCCTTAGAAAGGATGTGGATGAGAAACTGAGTAAAATGGCCCGTTTATCCTTCCCCAAAGCTCAAGTTCTTTCCACGATGGAAACAGGCAGGTGATTTGAGCAGGCAAGTGCAGAGGCTGGGTTCGAACCCAGGACTGTTTGTTTCCATTATCTCAAAAACTCAAGAATTTAACAAGAATGGGAAGGAGAAATATTTTGCCTTCTTTGGTCTCATATTCTAAATCTGAGCTCAAATTTATGAGCATTGGTATGATTCACAGACTGGACAGGGGCCAACATAGAGCTGCATCTCGTGTCTTCTCAACATTGAGCTTAGAGTCAAGTGGAGCTAACAAGGGGCTACTGGTTTGAATACTCATGAATTAAAGAAAACCTTCTAGAAGAACAATGAGAAATAGCACATACCAAGTTCCTACTAAGTGCCAGGCACAGTGTTAAATCCTTAAATATTTTAATCATCTCAACACTGTGGGGAAGGTATTCTGTTTCCTGTAACTGCGGAAGCCAGCCAGAGGGCACACCACATACCCGGCCCCCCTCCCCGACCCCAAGAAATAGGCTCTTCTGTGGAATGCCAAGCCAGTGCATGTCCATACCTGCTCTGTGGCTGCCCAGTGCTGTAGAACAAGCTAAAATCACCTGTCTGAAGTATAATATGGAGGAATCACTTTGAGTGTCTCTGGTGGGAAATGGGGGCAACCATGGTGCTCTCAAAGCAAACCCTCTAACTTTCAGAAGGGCTGTAAAGACAGAATTGATTTTGAATGGCCGGTTTCCTGAATCTACTTGTGCTGCTTTGGCTCCTTTGAGCTGCCCCCTCTGTTTCAGCTCCTGTTTAAGTGCATAGTGTCAAGTACCAGCTTCGGATTTAACTTGTGTTCAAATCCCAGCTGGGTCCAAAGGAAGATAAAAGTAGTACCTATACCTTACTGAATGTCTGCATTAATGAGAACATGGGAGCAGAGGACTCTGCACAGCACCTGGCACATGGTAAGTGATCAATAAAAAGTAGCTGCTGTTATTATAAACCACCACCAAGACCTGCCTAAACATGCAGGAAACGGGTATTAAAATAGAAATGACACGTGGCAAGGATGATACAGAAACCTCTGCATTGCCCAGGATTGGTGCCTTCTAATTCAAAGCAACAAGAAACAAGAATACTCAAGAGGGGAGGAGTAATGACATACATATGGCCAGAGAGCTAGGAGTAAAGGAAAAGAAGACTGCCCTAGGGGTCTGATGAGGGAAAAGGGGACATAAGAAATAAGATCAGGGAGACGAGGTGTTGCTATACTTCATCATCAGAGAAGAAAGCAATTCCTCTTACTCTGAGGCTCAAAACCTTTCCTTATTAAGTAGAGTAGCAGAGTCCCAAACACCAAACTATGGCAGCAGCTTGATTTTCTGGACATTTAGAAATCAAATCACATGGTGGTGTTTTGTGTATATGGATTCCATCTGAAGGATCTCAACAAACGACATTACATAACAAGCAGGGTATGATGGAAAAACCACAGGCCAAGTCGGGGACAGAAGTCTTCTGGGCTCCTGTAACATCCCATACAAACTGTTGTTGGACTTTTCTGCCGTCTATTGTTTTCGTCTCTTTCCCCCACTGGATTCTAAACCCTCCAGGGCAAAAACCTTATGTTCTGTAAGGTCCCTTTCTAGCCCCAAAACACCATCATTGTCAGAGGCTGAAGGGACCTCCAAAGATGTCCATACCCTAATCTGTAGAGCCTGTGAATATGTTACACTACACGGCAAAGGAACTGCAAATGGGAGATTACCCTAGATCAGCGGTTCTCAACCTGTGGGTCGCGACCCCTTTGGGGGTCAAACAACCCTTTCACAGGGGTTGCCTAAGACCATCAGAAAACACATATATAATTATATATTGTTTTTGTGATTAATTACTATGCTTTAATTATGTTCAATTTGTCACAATGAAAATACATCCTGCATATCAGATATTTACATGACGATTCATAACAGTAGCAAAATTACAGTTATGAAGTAGCAACGAAAATAATTTTATGGTTGGGGGTCACCACAACATGAGGAACTGTATTAAAGGGTTGAGGCATTAGGAAGGTTGAGAACCACTGCCCTAGAATGTCCAGGTGGGCCTAACCTAGTCACACCAGCTCTTACAAACAGAACTTTACCTGGCTGGAGGTAGGAGAGATGAGGCAGAAGGGGGCATCAGAGAGATTTGAAATGAGGACTCAACTAGCTTTGAAGATGAAGGAAATGCAGGCAGCCTCCAGGGGCTGAGAACACCCCAGGCTGCCAGCAAGGAAGCAGGGACTTCAGCCTCACGGCAGCACGGAACCGCGTTCTGCCAACATCCTGAAGAGCGTGGAGCAGGTTCTCCTCCAGGGCCTCCAAGTAAGAGTCCAGGACAGCCAACACCTTGACTTTGGCCTCATGAGATCTGGAGCCGAGAAGCCAGCCAAACCGACCCAGACTTCTGAACTACATACATTTGAGTTAAGCCACTAAGTTTGTGATCATCTGTTTCAGCAGCAATAGAAAACTAATAGGAACGTTAATAATTAAAACTGCATTTCCCCACACATCATTTCACTAAACCTTCCCAATAAGCTTAATCGTGTTATTGTCTCCTTATTTTAGGGAACTGCAGCTCAGGGAAGGATAAGCAACTTGCTCAGGTGACCAGCTAACAAGTACTTGAGCCACAAATCAAACTTTGGTCTTCAGGTTCCAACTCCAAAGAGAGCTGGGTCCCACACTGCAGCTACCATTCTGTGGCCTGAACAATCTACCTTAAGATAAATAAGAAATGGACTAAAAAAAAAAAAAAAAAAAAAAGGACAAAAATGAAAGAAAATCAGGCTGCTTTCACAGTGAAAATGTAAAAGCTTTTGGATTCTCCTTTCTGTTTCTTCCAAAGATTTCAAGTCGGGGAACAAGTCAGAGTAGAGACAAGTAAACATAAGAAGGTTCCCGTCTTCTTTCTGGCCCATAGAAGAAAAAAAGGTTTTGATAAACGGCAAAAGGAGAAATCCTCAAAAGAGTGGCTGTCCAGGAGCTATTTCCTCCCATTGAGATGCCCTCTCGGCCACTGCTAGGGTGCGTCTTTCACAGTGAAATGCAGCTGGGTTTAGGAACGTCTCTGGTTGGGGAGTTCAGGCCACTCGTGACCAATATTTAGTGTCAGGGAGTTCGCCCGATTTTCAGTCTGAAATTTCCCGTTTTATATTTCTTCCCTTTACTTCTAATAACAAAGAAAAAGAAATCTCCCCTCTTCGGCCTTCCCATTTCTTAAATATTGGTGAACTGTTATCAGACTCTACCCTTGGATATCATTTTGCCAAGCTGAAGTCTCTTAAATCAGCCTTTCTCTTCGACTGCGGTGTCGTCATGTCTGAACTTCTTTTCCACTTATTTAAGTTCTAATGAGGTGTTTCATCCTGAACCAAGAGTTCTGTACCCTGCAGAAGGGGCCATATTCTAAAAGGTGGATTATACAATAACCAACTTGGTAGTTGGTTAGAACATAACACTACTGCTTGCTTCTCCGCCTGCAATTTAAATAAACAGCAGACTACAATGAATTTCCCCCAATTTTACATAAAAGCTTTTGGCCACAAATTCAGGAACTAAAAGGTCAAGTATTTACTACATGCTGCTGAAAACAGCACTGTGAATATTTACAAAGTATTTAAATGACTATTAATAGAACAGACAGACTAAATAGACATCACTTTTTGCAATAAGTTTTGGATATGATACATTTAAAAAGTATATTTCTCCAAGAAGTCTGGCTAAAACTCCACACCATATTAAACTTCCTGCCAAATGGAATCAGACGCCACATTTCTTAAGGTCCAGAAATCTGGCCCAGTATTCTCCGCTCTTACCAAGAACTAAAGAGCTGTTTGTTTGCAGCAGTCTCCAGATAGATATTAATACTGGACCTTTCCAGTAGATTTTGTAACTCTCTATTGAGAAAAACTCTAAAATTTGGCCAGATGTGGCTATGGTTCCTGATAGCACATAAATCTTTCAGGGCCCTCATTAGCTGTTTAGTACTATAACCCAACTTCCCAATTCATATCAATGGGGTCTCTAAGCACACTCAATCCCACTGAGTAATTTATCCAGAGGTACAATCTGGCTGATTACCTTTTCCCCCCCTCCTTTATTTCTAGACAATAACATCAAGCAACTTCTTTGTGTTCAAAGAGCAACCGTACCATGGGCAGCTAGAACTATAATCTTTGGCTGAAATGCAAAACTCCTGAACATCAGACAAATAATTCTAAGTTCATTCACTTAGTTACAGATACTATGAAATGTTAATGATTCTTGAGGGAAAATATAAGAATATAGACAGTCTATAAAAAAATGCAACTTGTCTCCAGTCCTGAAGCCAGCTGATTATCCGAACTCAAGGATTGTCACAAAATGTTCCATTCCAATGAATAAATTGCTTCAGGTCCAAAAAGTTCTTTTTCTCAAATAACATTAGGCACCACCTATCTATTGAGTACCTACTATGTGTTTGACATTTGACAAGAATTGCTAATCCTCACAACCAACAAGGTGTGAGGGTTATTATTCCTTTTTTACAGAGGGAGAAACAGGCTCAGAGTCATTACCTCTAAGTCCCAAAGCTGCATGAGTGCCCGAGCTAGGACCCAAACCCTCATCTGGTGGGCTCCAAGTCCTCCCACTATACCAGACTGCTCTAAGTGTATCATCTTCTGAAACTGCTTAGGTTTCAGAAGATAAAGCTGTTAATTATAGGATTTAATGTTGTATCTCTTTTTTTCTAAGGTAATATATATGAAGAAAATAGAAGTTTATATGTGATTGAACCTTTGAAGGTATTTTACAATTTAAAAAGAACTTTAGTGATCACTGTCCAGTCATTTCTTCAAGAAACTTTTACTCATGTGTATTCTGGCAGACATGGTATTAAGGTTAGAGACATGAAGATAAATGACATAGAGTTTCTTCCCTTAAGGTGTTCACAGTCTAATGAGACAATTTTTAAAAATGCAACAGCATCCGCCTTGTGCAGAGGAAGAAACTGAAGGCTGGTGAGGGTTAAGTGCCTTGTCCTAACTTAGCTTCTAGGAGGCAGACTGGACCTGATTCCAGATTCTTCTGATCCCACCTCACTCTGCCCCCACCACCTCCACCCTCCTCTTCCTAATCATGCTCTCTGTTGTTTTTCCACATATGCAACAAAGACTATGGAAGCCTGAGAGTTGGAATTGTCTAGACAAGTACAGCAACAAGACCACTGACTCTAATGCATACAGAACCCACTAGGCCACCTTGTAAAAAACATGTAATAAAACCACAACAAAGTGACTTTTCGTATTTATTACTTTGGGCTGCTTCAATCTTCAGTTGAACTCTGTTCTGAGAAGCTGCAAATATTTTCAAAGAAAGAGCAGGACAGGTCACGCTAATGGAGAATTTTTAATGTTCTCTTTCATCATCAGGGCACCAGAGGGTCATTGTAATAGAGAATGCATTTCTGTGGCAAGGTCCCTATCCTCAGAGATTGTTATTCAGCTTATCTTATTTACTCACTTAATGACAGTAAGCCAAGACTGTGCTGAGGGTATCAAAACGGATGCATGTGATGCAGTTCTCCCTGCCCTTGGGGAGCTCTCTGTTCGTGGAGACAGAAACAAAATTATTACAAAGGAATGGTTAGCTCTATTCTGTCAGTACATAGGTGACAAACAGGGACAGCTTCCTGAAAGCTAAAGGTATGAAAAGGATTTTGCCAAATGGATAAGGTGAGGGGCGGGGCAGGGAGAAACTGGCGAGGATGGGCACAGAGACCGGCACGTACAAGATGGCCTAATTTAGAACTAAAAGAATTAACTAAAGTGCTTGCTTACTACCAAATGGAACTCTCCTGTTCTTATTCATAGCTCTTTATGTAACCAGTTCCCATCTTGCTTTTATCCCTACTACTCTACAGATTTCGTAGTGATCACCAATGACTTCTACGTTGCCAAATTTAATCCAGTAGATGATTTTTAGACGTCATCCTACTCGACCTCACAGTAGCACAGGACACAGTTGATCACTCCCACTTTTTGGTTTTACTGTACTCTCTTCTCCGGAAATTTCCCTCCACCTCTCTAGCCTCTCTGCCTCATCCCCACTGCCAGATTCTTCCTCTTCTACCTGATCTGTAAAGTTTAAGGCTTACCTCAACGCCCCCTCCACTCCCTAGGTGATATCAGCCATTCCTGTAGCTTTAAGGACCACCCCTATGCTCGACTTCGGAATACATCTCTTGCTCAGCCAGCATGGCTCAGTGATTGAGTACTGACCTATGAACCAGGAGGTCACTGTTCGATTCCCGGTCAGGGCACATGCCCAGGTTGTGGGCTCAGTCCCCAGTGTGGGGCGTGCAGGAGGCAGCTGATCAATGATTCTCTCTCATCATTGATGTTTCTCTCTATCTTTCCCTCTCCCTTCCTCTCTGAAATCAATAAAAATATATTCTTTTAAAAAAGAATATATCTCCAAGTTGACCTTACCTCTGAGCTCATCCTGTAAATCCAATTGCCTGCTTGCTAACTCCACTGGTAAATCTCTCAGGCATCTCAAAGTTAACAAGTTCGTAAGTGGAGCCTATTATTTCAACCACTCTCCCTAAAACCTGCTTGTCCCCTCATCATCCCAGTCATGACCTGCTATTCACCCGGCCTGTCACCGGAAGTCATTCTTGCCCCTACATCCAGTCACCAAGTCTGTCAGCTCTACCTCTGCTTACTTTTCCACTTCTGTTTCCATCACTGGCACCCTATTCCAGGACACCATCTTCTTGCACCTGGGCATCCACTCCTGCCCCTACCCTCAGTACATTCTCCGCAGGGCTGCTACAGTGACTCTAAATCATTTCATTCCCATGCTTACAGCCCTTCTGTGATGTCCTTCAGTTCTTTCACAAATATTCCAACTCCATTCTCCTTCTGGTACATGGTAAGATTGTGAAGTTAGGTGGGGGGCATGTGACTTTCTTTGGATAAGGAAGTGGAGTAAGAGTGACTTGGAACACTTCTGGGTGGAAACTTTAAGAGCCAATGTGTACTTTACCTTTTTCTCTTCCCTGCCATGATGGTCACAATGCTCCAGAGAGCAGCTGCTCCCTTAGCCCGATTCTTCACTTAGGAAATGATGGCAAAGTGGATATGCAGCATGAGTGAGAAATAAACACACATGAAGCTACACCTTCAACAGCTCCCAACTGCACTAAGAATGACATGCAAACTCCTTACCATACAAACAGATTCCAGTATAACCAGCTCCTACGTACCTATCCAATCTCATCTTGGGCCTGTCCTTCCCATTCACTATATTCCACTCACATGGGCCTCCTTGCAATTTTTGGAACACGCCAAATTTGGGGACAATATATGTCCTGCCAATTCGACTTCTCTTTCTACCCTTTCATGCAATGTTCTTTGTATGGTTCACTCCACAACCTTTAGATCTCAGCTTAAATATTACCTCTTCATAAATGTCTCCCTTACCACTTTATCAAAGGAGACCCCTCACTGTGATTCTCCATCCCAGCACCCTGACAATTTCCTGCGTGGCTCACCACAGTCTGTAATTATTATTCATCTCTTTGACTGACTGTTTCTCCAACTAAGACTGTAAGTACTGTGAGGGGAGGAACTCACCACTATCTCCACTGCCTAGCACTGTATCCTCCACAAAGCAGCCTATATAAGGTAAGCAGTTGATAATTATTTGTTCAATAAATGAACGAGTAAAACAAACACTCAAAAAGTAGGACATTAGAAAGCACTACAGACATCCTATCACATATCAGAGGCAAGAGGTAGAGGTAGTGGCGGGGACAGGAAGGGAATTCACGTTTACAGTGAGGGAACTAAGAATGACTGTGATGCACCTAACACTAATTTAGGTACTTCACATATGTTATCTCTCTAGGTCCCAATAATCATAGGACATCAATATTAATACCTTTATAAGTCAGGCAACTGAGGCTCAACCTGCTCAAGTAGCAAAACCAATAGCAGCAGTTTTAATTACTAAATAATTTTCTATTATACATATAAGTTGCACTTTTATGTAAATACATTTCTACTACAAGAACCAGTTTTTGGTTTTGTTTTTTCAGGCTCATCCCAGAGCCTATTTCAGGTGTCACTTATTATTTGGGGATAAGTGAATGCAGAATAATGTAGTAAATCCAAACTACAGATAAATCAGACATTTCTGTGGAAACTTT